CTTTTGCAGTACGCGGGCCTCTCACTGTTGTGGCCTCTCCCGTTGCGGAGCACAGGCTCCGGACACGCAGGCTCAGCGGCCATGGCTCACGGGCCCAGCTGCTCCGCGGCAGGTGGGATCCTCCCAGACCGGGGCACGAACCCGCGTCCCCTGCATCGGCAGGCGGACTCTCAACCACTGCGCCATCAGGGAGGCCCCCAAGGCAGTAAATTTAAGCGCTAAATAAATGGCATGAACAAAAAGTGCTTGGGGTTTTTAAAATACCAGGTTAACCTGGTATTTATTTAGCATCTAGAATGATATAGGAACTCCATTGAACATAAAAAGGATGAAGCAGGTAGTTTGCTTTGAGTTTTTGAATAGGAACTCCATTGAACATAAAAAGGATGAAGCAGGTAGTTTGCTTTGAGTTTTTGAAATAGGTATTTATTTAGTTAGGTTCAACTTTAGGAATCCCTGGTTTCCAAGGATGTGAGGCAGTCAGCTAGAATTTGGCCTGCTTGGGCCCTGGAAGCTCTGGAGGTATTTGATCATTCGACGGTCTCCTCAGTTTTGTTTCCGAGTTCCTGTTCATCACTTCTGTAAGGGGTTGAGCAGGAAACTGCTATGGCTCACTTCATGGTCTCTCATTCTCCCCAGGCTAAAAGGAAGCGGGGGCCTGATACTCACCCGACGAATAGAAGACCTGTGGGAGCTTCACCAGTCCTTCGACATTGTGGTCAACTGTTCAGGCCTTGGAAGCAGGCAGCTTGCAGGAGACCTGAAGATTTTCCCAGTGAGGGGTCAAGTGCTCAAAGTGCAGGCTCCCTGGGTGAAGCATTTTATCCGAGATGGGAGTGGGCTGACATACATTTACCCAGGTATATCCAATGTAACCCTGGGTGGAACTAGGCAAAAAGGAGACTGGAATCTGTCCCCAGATGCAGAAATTAGCAAAGGGATTCTTTCCCGATGCTGTGCCCTCGAGCCCTCTCTCCATGGAGCCTGTGACATAAGGGAGAAGGTGGGCTTGAGGCCCTCCAGGCCAGGTGTGCGGCTGGAGAAAGAGCTCTTAGCCCAGGGCAGCCGGAGGCTGCCTGTGGTCCATCACTATGGCCATGGTAGTGGGGGTATAGCCATGCACTGGGGCACTGCTCTGGAGGCCGCCAGGCTGGTGAGCGAGTGTGCCCAAGCCCTCAGGACCCCTGTTCCCAAATCAAAGCTGTAGGCATGAAATGACAGCAAACGGCCCCAGAAACTATTAATCAAAATATAATTTAAGTACCAGAAGAGATTCAAATAACTTTTCCATTGAATGAAAGTTTAATTGGACATGGCTTTGCTTTCAAAATTAGAAATGATGCAATATGTATCAGTAGACTTAAGATTAGTACTAATCTAACTTAGTACTAGACTTAAGTCTAGTACTAATGACATAGGGCATAAAGCTCTATTTTTGTTAAAAAATACTTGCTATAAAGTAAGATTTCTTTTAGATCTTGTGTCCAAGGATCTATGCCAATTCACATGGTTGCAGGGATTTTTTTTGGCTCATAAATCCACAGGAGGAGTTAATGTATGGAAAACACTTAACTCACTGTCGGTTGCAGAGCTGCCCATGATGCTCATAGGTTGCAGTCAAGTGAACACTATAATCCTTTAAAATTACACAGTGATATACAATTCAGGCTTATTCCATTTAGTGGAAGACAAAGCATGATTCCTGCTAGTGCTAGTGGCAACCTCTACTTCCTCCCAGCTGGTACTGATGGTAGAACGTAGGGATGATGTTGCCTACAGGTGTGGCGTTAACTCAATTGCGGTCTCGGGTCAATCACCTAAGGGGTGTACTTTCCACTACCACAAATGATTGAGAGCTGGTTTGTTGGATGATTGACTTTGCCTGAGCATTTTTGAAGATTGAATAGTATGTGCAGCCAAAGGACTAATTTGCTAATTAAAATGGAACAATCACTCTGAATAAAATATAAACAAAGTTTTCTGCAAGTTGTTAAAAGGTACTGGGGAGGAGTGGAAATGTATCTAATGATAAAATGAGTTTGGGAATTGCTGAATTAATAAATCTAATCTGGATTCTTGACTTGGTCTTTAATCTGTTCATGTGTATTATGAATTCTTAGGAGGGTTTTTGGCTGAGTGAATGGTAAAGGAGATGCTATTCATTGAGGTAAAGGAGCTTGGGAGAAATATATGTAATTTTTTTTTATGAGAATAGTCTGTTCTATTTGACATTTTCTAGCACTGGAGAATTTCTAAGTTTGAATATTTCTAATTTAAATATAGGCCTAAATAGTAGGCCTTAATAAGATGTAATGTGTATGGTTTTTATGTTTTAGTTATCGGGACTTCCCTGGTGGTTCATTGGTTAAGACTCCATGCTTCCACTGCAGGGGGCACAGGTTCAATCCCTGCTTGGGGAACTAAGATCCCCCATGCCTTGTGGTGTGGCAAAAAAAAAGTACAGCTATCATTGAAAAGGTGAATGAAAATATATACATGAGGGTCAAAGAAAAGAAATATGTGTAATTCTAATTTTAATTTTTTGGGGATATGGCTTATGTTTAGTGATGATAAGTTCTATTTTAGACATCCTGGGGGGAGATGTGGAACTGGCAAAGAGAATGGGAAAGAGAAAGCCCCCAGAACAGCTCCATTCTTGCTGTTTTGTTCGTTGAGCTTTTGCATATGATTTTTTTAAAACATCTTTATTGGAGTATAATTGCTTTACAATGGTGTGTTAGCTTCTGCTTTATAACAAAGTGAATCAGCTATACATATACATGCATCCCCATATCTCTTCCCTCTTGCGTCTCCCTCCCACTGTCCCTATTGCATACGATTTTGTTTGCAGAGAATGTTGTGCTGGGAGAGAGAAAGATGGAAAGAGCGGGCGTGCATGCCAGTGTACTGAAGGACCTTAATCATCCCTTGCAGTATTAAAGTTTCCAAGTTAAATCATGTGGATTCTTTTCTATGAATTTCCACCAGGGGGTGGTGGTGTATCAAATTCAGATAAATTGGTACATTGGAAAATTTAGAAATGGTTAGAAATAAAAATTGGATACCAGGTGTGTGGAGTATGTGGGTGATTCTTTTGAGGTTTTGGAGTTTATATGCCCCAAATGCAATTGTTTTGAATTCTGTTTAAAGTATTTGAGAAATGTACAAGCTCTGATAGACTGAAAATACACACATCCATCGCATCCACACACTCACACATGCACTCACTACATATGACCTGTGAGAAATAATATGTTATGACAAATGGCATTTTGAAGAGGGGGAATACATTTTTTAATGGTTAAAAATGAAAATTTTCAGAATAGGTGTATTTCGGTCATTGTTACAGCAGTTTTAAGTGTACTCAGTTGTTCCTTATGCCCACAGTTTAGATCCTGCAGCATTTTCATTTCCTGTATGTAGGTTCATACTCTGACTATTGCCTATTTGCAATGGTCTAAGCAATTACTCTAGTTTAATTTAACTCTGCATTTTATACAAGACTGAAAGATTAGAGGTTTCTTGGGAAAGTGCTCATGGGGGCATGCCCTGATTTCATTTTTACTAATTGATTTGCTCCTTCTCTTAAAGGTTTATTCATTTCGATCAGTACCTGCCAACCTGGGTTGCACATTAAAGTCACCGGGGAAGTTTGAAAAACTAATCATTCCCAGCCCTGCTCTAGTAAATTAGCATTTGTTGGGGGTTGGGTGGGGCCCCGGCAACAGTATTTACACATAACCCGCAGAGTTCTATCCAATAGCTGGGACTGAAGGTTATGAGCACTGTTTCACTCCTCTACTCACGGGGCTCTGCCACTTCTATAACCACTCGCCTCCCCTTCCTTCCTCACCATCTTGGGGCATTGAGCTAAGAGGGATGTTCTCACATATGCAGGCGTGTTCTTAGGCACTCCTGGGCAAGGTGGTAGGTAGGAATTAGCTGTCTCCCACAGTGGCTCTCTAGAAATGCTGGGAACCACATTGTTGGCTGTAGGTCAGCTGCCCAGAGACAGCTAGCTGCCTGTCTGAAAGATGAGAGGCTGAATATACAAATGGACAGTAGCCAGACTATATATAAAAGAACTCTGATCCATGGTCTGCAGCAACCTGCCTGGGAAACTAACCTTTCTTTACAATAGCCAGCAAGGGAGCCAGTCTGCTATAGGTCAGGTTTGCAAGAAGCTAAATTGCTATCTCTAGTAACAATCCAGAAAGTTAAACAATCATTTCTGGAACAATTGGCCCAATTTCTGTCCTGTTTCCAACTTAGGACCAACCAGAGAAAGCCAACTATGCACCCCTGACCAATCACACAGGATGCCCCACTTCTTAATAGCCTGCCGACAGCTTCCCCACGCCAAAAGCATCCATTCAGGGCACACCTGAAGTCTTCTCTTTTGTCACTATAAAGCTTTCCCACTCTTCTGCCTGCCTTGGAGTTACAGTGGCTGAACTCCCTTACTATAGCAAGCTCTGAATAAATAGTCATTGCTTTTCTCATTTGGCTGGTCTTTTTTTGGTTGTTGTTGTTTGTTTGTTTCCACAAAGATTTCCTGTTTTTGTAAGCTGAAGTCTTAGATCACTATGCTAAAGCCCGAGAATGGGCTCCCATTTTCTATTACAGATCACTTAAAAACTTTTTCATAACATGGAGAACAACCGATTTCCTTCTTAAATCCCTGCTTTCAAGTGTCTGACATTTGTGGCTGAGCTAGGACCTGCTGCAGCCATGACCCAGCGGGACACAGCAGCTTTGCTGAACCTCTTCTTCAGCAGACAGAGGTTATGTAGACTTTTGGGATTTTATTTGCTTAGGAAGAAAAAGTTAAACAGAAAGGCCATAGCCCACTAGGACACGGTTGTACAGAAGAAAGGCTATTTTTAAAAATGATATAGATTCTTCCTTTTATTGAATACATGCATTCAACCCAATTGATATTTGAACTATCTTTTTTTCTTCAATCCATTAAGAGCTTTTAGAGAAAAGGAAGAAAATGATGGTGGGACCTGTGTCCTCTGGGAGTTGTAGTTCTGGGAAACCTGTTCCAGAACTCTCATAACTTGTCAGATATTTGAAATGAATGTAGCACTTAGAGTATTTTTTTCTTGATTCCTCTCATCTTTCTTCTTGAGGGTGTGAATGATGGAAACACATTTGAAACCTGTTTTCTCTGGGTATCATTCACTGAGGAAAAGCTGAGGGAGATGTTTAAGTGGTCTCTTTCTTCTTGAAAAATCTCTGCAGTTTGCCACCAGGCCTGGGGGCTTTATTATCCTAAGTGACTTTGCCGCCTATAAATCACAGCCCTAAGTGGCTAGAGGGAATGAGTTAACCAAATGCCTGAAAAAATGTAACCAATGTTTCTTCAATTATTAGCAGAACAATTGACTTGCATCTGGTCAGGGCACCTGCAGACCTGGCCTGCAGTCGTGTTACCTATAATTCCACCACTCAGAGCGTAAATTTCCCTTGAATTACACTTTTTACTCTGATGCATGTTCTGAGATATCAGTTCACCCCCCAATTTTTCATGTGTCCTAGTATTTCTCTTCCATACAAATCCAAGTGGTCTGGCAATGGAACTCAGCTATTGTAGTGAATACTCCAAATGGTTTGCCTGCTCTACCCAGGACCCCTTTTCTGGGAAATCTGCTCAAACCTGGGAGTTCACTATTTGGGCAGTATCCCTGGTACCCTGCCTCTCTGGTTATAGTTATTGGATCAGAGGAAACTTTCAGTTAGGTTTAGGTTCAGTAATAGGTAACAGAAACTCCCCCACGTAGCTGCTTAAATAAGATGGGCATGCATTTCTCTCTTACTTGGTAGAAGCCTGGATTTAGGCAGTTCTGGGCTTGTGTGGGGACTTCATCAGTGATCCAGGCTCTTCCTGCTCATGTTCTGCTATCTCAAGGGTATGGTTCCAAGATGGCAGTTGGAGCTCCAGCCATCGCATCATTAATCCACCCCCAATGAAACTTTCCAGAAGACTCACACAATACTTTTGCTTATATCTTATTGCATAAGCCTACACTAGATTCAAATGAAGCTGGGGATGTAGTCTTTTGACTTTGTGAACAATGTAAAAGTCAAGGTTTTAGCAGGCTCTGCTAAAAGTAAGTTGGGTTAAGCTAGTCAGATTCTTAAGAACTTGCACGAAAGGATTCTAAAACTGTTTCCTGGTAATGGCAGGCTCTGGAGGCATGTAGACTTGGGGCAACAGTGCAGGCTGTTCAGGTTTATGTAGAGGAAGCAAGGCAAGAGAGAGAAGGCAGAGAAAAGCAGAAAACGGAGAGAAGAAAGCCCAAGGGGACGTACTTCGGGGGAAGCATCAAGAATGACCCAGGTCCTGACCCAGTTCCACTCCTCAGGCTGTCTGCCTGGACAGTCAATTCGGCATTCCTCAGAAAACTCATGTTTTTAAAAATTGCTTTTCAGAAATTATTGTGTTAAGAAGAGGAAGGGGATGGGAGCTGGAGAGTTTCAGATATCCCAAAAAAGAAATTATTTTTTCCTGGAGCAATTAATGATACATATTATAGCTATAAGAGTAAAATCTTAATATCATGGAGCAAATCTAGCATTTGCTGAATTCTATCTTTTACTTAAAAATCTTGTCCTTTCTTTTCCTAAACAGGGACATTTTATATATCCTTATATCCTTATCTCCTTTATAGTTGTTATCACACTTTGTTAGGATAGACAAAGTCTAAACTACTCAAATAAATCTCTTGTGTTCTAACATTGGTGTTACCCTACCTCCTGAATACATTATCAGTCCCTGGTCAAGATCCTATTGTAATCAGTGGTGTTCTTAGTAGTGCATATTTTGGCCTTTAATTAGTATAATTGAATTATGGCCAATTTGTATGACTGTAGGAGTAATATCTGTATTTCATTTCCTGTCTGTGGATTCTATGGGGAAATATTTCACCATAATCCCCTTTTCTCCTTGAGCCCATTAAGTAGATCCTCTCCTTTCAGCCAAAAACTTTTGTCTAAGTCTGCTTATAAAAAATGAGTGGATCCCTGGGATAAAAAGCAGATTTCAGCTATCCAGTTAGACCAGGGGCAGCAAAT